TATATATATATATATATATATATATATATATATATATATACACACACACACAAAATATCGATATATTTTTAAATTACATATAACGTTACGAATCTCATATTTTATTATCCTACACATTAATATCCTACAATTACTTCAACAGCATAAATTTGTATTAAAATAAATAAACTATATTCTTTACTTCGTCAAATTAAAATTGTTTTTCAAATAAAATATAACAAAACTTTTTCTCACTAAAATGTAAATTTTTCATATTTTATTATTGTTTATATATGCATTTTGTTAGCAAATTGATACACTTTATATTTTTATGCTACTAAACTACTACTTTTGTACAATTATACATATATAAACATATATATGTAAGACTGCAATTGTTCGTGTAACACATTTACACAAAGAACATAGAATAAAAAATAAAACCAATTTCCAAACCAATGAATCAAAATAAAATATTTTTAAATAAATGATACTTTAAAATTATTTAATATTCAGATTTTTATACTGCAAATATACTTAATATTGATTACAAAATAATTTACTTAATTTTATATTTATTTCATAATGTACATTCTACTATACAATCAGCTTATAATTTATGATTGTATATAAAATTTTTAAAATGTACGGTTATTCCATTTGTTTAAATTACATGAAACATATAATGGATATGCCATAGATCCAACCCAAAAGACCATTCCAAGTACAATTTTTTCCTGCAATAGAAAGAATATTTTAAAAATTATATTCAGATAGTCTCTAATCTTAAGATATTACCATAATAATAATATTACATATATGTAAAATATATTCAGTCCATATACTATATTAATATAAATGCTTAGATATTTAACATTATATTTAATATTAATCTCTAAGTTAATTATTACACTTTTTATATTTTATTTTAATAAGAAATTATATATAACTCAAATGCAAGACCAAGTCATATAATGAAATACAAGACTGAATTAATTCATTGCATTTGAAATGTGGTTTTTTCATACATTTTGTTCTTTTGAAAGAAATGACTTAAATAAAAATAGACTAATAAATATTTGTACATATTTCGTAATAATTCATATATTTATTATTTATTTTATTTAGAAGATCCAAATGAATTATAATATTTGAAACATTAAATGTTCTCAACATTAACTAACCTATTATATTACATAACCTTACCAAATCACTGACATAAATGATCACAAACTCTAACTGTAATGTTATACTTTTTACAATAAGTAAATTCTTTAATTCGAAATAATATACCATATTATTTAATTGCTATCATTATCGTATTTCATATGCGTTTGATAAAAACAATACTTATAATAGTACTTACAGCCAGAGGTATTCTAACCCTTGGTGGTGTACCAAGAATAGTTCTACGTTGATTTTGACATATATTTAATAATCTTGGTGCTCTTCTAACTGTATTCTGAATTGCGTACATGATTTTTTCTTGTTAAAAGATTTAATTCTTAGAAGAAATTTTCTTTAAGATCTTTTATATAATGTCACAGACTACCAACACAGAGAAAGATGTCTTGGAAATTTTATAGATGAACTACGAATTATAAGTACAATTCAACATTAAATATTAACATTATTGTATAATATTGTATAATATTAGGGAACGGAACAACTTATAAATAAATTTGTATTATAAACTAATAAAATAATTTCCAAATCATAACAGAAAAACATTATATGCATTTTCCATATTTTGCAGGGATTTTCAAACCATTATGTTTCCCCTGTTACAATCTACTATTCTATTCTGAATGAATTTTCTGGTAAAATTGAAATGTCACCTTCAAACCAAGAAATATGTTCAGAAGTTATTTTTCTAAATAAAATTTTAAATAATTGTCTTCATTTGCAATATTTCAATAAATAAATATCTATTTTTTATTATTTGTAAATTTATATTTTTATTGAGATAATACAGTTTCTTTTCTAGTTCTAGATTCAGATTATATAGAAGTATAAAATTATATTTGGATCTAGTGTCTATTAAATAGAAAAAGAGTTCTGTAACACATTCTTTTTCTTGTTGGCCTTCTCAATTAGATAGAACATTAAATTTACACCATAATGGAATTACTAAAATTATATAAGATAGTAAATGAAAAAAAATGCACAATATGTTTATATTTTATACAGGAATTATGTGTACAAATTCTACAAATTCTGTCATTCAACACAGCACACATATACTCATACACGCACATATGAGTTTGAAACTCAGTATTAAAAAATTGTTTTGTCTTGTATAATAAACAATTAATCCCCAAGTTTGATCTTCAATACGTATTCATTTCTTAAATCTCTTTAAACAAGATTGGCTTTGCGTATAAATAAATAAAAATTCACAACATTCACATGAAATTAACAACAAAATTGTGATATGTTGAATAATGTTAATATCATTTGCAATCAATGTTAAAAATTGCAAGAAAATCACTCATGTTTACCATTGTGTAATAAATACTCAAATTAATTATTCTATTTTCATTCAATCGGTATAGCCCAAGGATGGTCTGATATAACACCATATTGTATATCAGATAAATGTTTTAATAACATTTTATATATAGGATTAGAGTGTTTCATTGTTGGTATATGTAATGGTCGTCCAGCATATTCTATGTAAGATATAGGACTAACTGTGCATGCTGTTCCTGCTCCAAACATTTCTAACAACTAAAATAAAATTGTAATTTTTTATAGTATTTAGATAAATTTTAGATAAATTTTAAACTAAGTATAATTTAAAAAAAAGATCTCACTTTGTTTTCTGAAAGCAACTGACAAACTTCATCCATACAAAATTTCCTTTCACTAACTTTGAATTCGTTCCATTCTGTAGCTAATGCTAAAATAGAATTTCTTACAATTCCAGGAAGAATTAAACCACTTGTTAAGGGTGGTGTTATTAATTCTTTTTCTAAAATTATAATATATTTATAAAAGTAATATGAAATACAATAAAACTATATATAAACTATTACAACATTAAAATATAAAACAATACTCACCACCATCATCATTTATAAAGAACATGAAGATATTCATAGTCCCAACCTCAGTTATTTCATTATCTTCTCCATAAAGCCATAGTACTTGTTGCAAACCCTTCTCTACAGCTTCTTTTTGTACATATATAGTAGGCCCATAATTGCTACCCATTTTATAATTACCACAACCACCTGGCCATGCTCTTGTATATTGAGGATTAGCTAATAAAGAAATACCAACGTTTTCGTTCGTTTTTTTAAAATAAGAACCCACAGGTGACGTAATAACATAGAGCAAAGCAGATTTTGAAGAGGCTACGCCAAGTGCAGGCTGTATAAAGATATAAAAATAATTATGATATGTATATATGTATAAAATTATTTTTATACTCATAATCAATACTTGAATATTTGAATTAAATACTTTTGTAAAAATATTAAATATTTATGATTATTTCTTTGTTTAGATGATTTTTTATAACAAAGATATTGCATTATTTATAAATAATAATGCATATGAATTTTTTGAAACCCAATTTACAAAAAAATTTTATATTTATGATATTCTAATTACTACCATATACTAGTATGCTAAGTATTATAATATACTAAGAAATTCATATTTATTCTATTTTTAAATTTTAATATTCACTAGTTCTTCATCTTTTCTAGAATGCTTACGTCATAATACGGCTTCTGATCTAACTGTATCTTATGGCCCTGCCCCAACAAAAGAGCATTAAGCTTCAATTTATCATGTATTATCATGAGTATTGTGAAATATATTATTTACTTTGAATATATCTGTTTTTATGACGTCTGTGACATCAGTACCATGATTATTATTTGTATCACTCAACTGATTAAGATTCACAAAACTAATACATTTGTTTAAAGAGTATTTTATATTTAAATACTTACGTCTATTCCTATAAGTGTTGGACGTATATAAAGACTAGAAGCAGTAGAATGAGGTACCCATTCTTGATCAATACTAATTAATCTACAGCAACATTTAATTAACTCTTCTCCAATAAATGTAGGTAAACCAGTTCTTATTGCTGAATTGTTCATTCGTTCCATATTTAGTTCTGGTCTAAATATTCTAATTTTTCCATCTACTCCTCTGTAAGCTTTGAAACCTTCAAACAACTGAAACAATACACATAATGTAGATGTTGTTAATAAATAAAAATGAGTAGGAAATTTTATTAAATGTTAATTATATTTACTTGTATAGCATAGTGAAGAACTTTCGATGCTGGATGAAGGACTAAATTTTCCAAAGGAGTAATTTCTGGTATTTGCCAGCCTCCTAATGCTTCATAATAAAATATTTTTAACATATGATCTGTAAAATATTTGCCAAATGCTAAAGCACTGACGTCTGGTTTTGGTTGCAATTGATTTGGTCCTGCAAGACGGACTGTTAGATCTGCATACTACAAAATATAGTACATATCTGTAAGCTTTAGTTAAAATGGTTACTTTATTGACATTAAAAAAAACATACCTTAAAAGAACGTTCTGATTGTACTGCTTTTCTATCTCTAATTTGTAAAGATGATGAGTTCCTTTTGATATTAATTTGAAGTTGATTCAACATGCTTCCACAGAACAAAATCTGTACAACAAATTTTTGCATTTTAATAATCTTAATGTACAGTAATATTTATCTTATTAATACAATTATTACAAAATCAACGTAATTAGAAAACAATATATGACTGCAGTATTGTACAATTTCCAATTTATATGTAATAAAATAATTTTTTCAAGTTTAAAAAATACGCAGTATTTAAATTTTGTAATATTTTTTTGTATTTTGTATTTTTAAAAAAGTAGAATCATTTCGAACGTAGCAGAATTTTCGGTTCATATCGGTATTATGAAATACTTGATTACATTGAACGATTGGCGAAATAAGGAAAGTATAATATAATAACGTGATAAATGCTTATCTTAATTTTTTTAATGCAAATTGCCTACGAAAATAATAATAGAATTAAGTCAATGAAATGTACAAATTTATTACGTACAAGAGTTCGCTAAATAGTAGTCATTATAAGTTTAAAAGATATGTACAACAATTAAATTTTATGAAATTAATTATTTCAACTTAATGCGAATTCATTTTTTCTTTCTTTAAACAATACTAAACTGCTAAAAATTTATTTTTAAACACATGGTATTACACGCGTTAAATGTCACATTGGTCCAAGAAGACACGCGCCAATGTCATAAGGTTTGTAAAACAACTTTCCGTTCGAATTTTTTCATTTGTTAACATTATCAGCTTAAAGTTATTGCATTAAAATTACATAATCTATGATGTTTGGAAAATAAATCACATAAAGTTAAAAAGATAACACTTTAAATGTAAAAACTTTACTAAGATCAAACTTGTTAATAAATATTATTTTAATAAATATGTATTGTTATTTCAAATAAGTTTTTATTACAATCTATTATAATGCAACCACTATATTAATTTTAAATTAATTAATTTTTATCTTATATTTCTCACAAATATCTTATTGCATTTTTTTAAATATATTTTTCTATTTTTGTTTAAAAGTTTTATTTTTAATTGTACTTTCAATTTTAATAATAAAAAGCAAAAGAAAAATTACTAGTTAACAGTTTGGAAAACTTCTAGATTTCGTTTTTAAATATCTTCTGTATATATGACAATCTTACATCATCACGGAAACTCAGATAATTATAAAGATTTCATGAAAAACTTAGAACGAGTAAACAACTAAATCTTATATGAGATTATACAGCGACTTTTATATCAGAATTTCGTATTTTTGTACTTTAATTAATATTTTTATTTACAAAGTCATATATTCTTTATATTTCAACATTCTTTACATTAAATTTTTCGAAACAATTATAAAAAATATCATTTACCTGATGTCGTAGTTGAATCATTGTAATAGGATAGCGATGAACCAATTAGCAAATATATAATCCTTTAAAACAACCCTTAGTGCACAAGATCTCTTATATCATATATACGTGTATTACGAACGCACAAATAAATACTTCATAAAATAGATTTAAGACAACTCTTCTTATTGTTTCTTCTGGATATCTGTTAATTACAATATTAAAAGATATAAAGATAATTACAACATAAAGGAACAAACAAAAATAGAGAAGAAAGTAAATATGAAATCAATTTATGGTGTAGATGACAATATATTCACTAATTACAGCATGAATATTGCAACTATTATACAATGAATTCACTGTTATACACTTGTATCTGCTTCTTTACGCATTCTCGAATAATGTCTTTGCATTAATCATCGGTTAATATTTTATTTATTAGCAGGCAAGGGGCGTGAGAGACAGAAAGAAGCTAAGAATCCCCTCCTCCTCTATGTTTAAGAGTTAAAGAGTGGGAGATTTACCAATTCAATATATATGTATTGTAATACATACAGTGTTCAGAAAATTCCTATTTAATTAGTTTATTATGTTTTATTACACTAATGTAATATAATTAGAAGTTTTGTTTTGTTTCAGCTCTTTTGGATTGCCTAATCTTACTGATTACCAGTACGTTCATCATGGTCAATATCCACGCTCATTACGATCGAGTATTACATGTAGTTGAAGATAAACGTTGATCAGTACGGATTTCAATATTAGAGAACATGATATTAAATACTGAATATTAGAAAACATAATTCTATATTTTTGTGTGAATTATAATGATAGAATAAAATAAATTTGGACTTTACTCCGAAGACAAGAAAGGAATTAATTCTCACGAAAATCCCATAAAGCTGTTATGTGACTGGTAATATCAATGAAAAGTATATATCGGTGATAAGCTTCAAGGAACACCCTATAAGTAAAAGATGAAACTTGTATGAATATTGTATGATTGGGAAAGGGGAGGAAAAATTCTAACGGGATATAACGAGTGGGGGCAGGGAATTAAAAACAAGTTGATAATATGGTTTGTTCAGGCGATAAGAAAGGACAGCACGCCTGTTGTTGTTAAGAACATCGAATGTTTCTCGATTCTCAAATGTACGAAAAGTATCGTAAATATTTATTAATTATAAATGCATAGAACGAGTCCTCGTCTCTTTAGGGACATAATATTTTCTCACAATTACGATCATTATGCACACGAAACGCGTGGACGCTCAGTCTTCTTTTACAAAATTATTAGGCAATCGATTTTCAGCCGGAGCAACGGCAATTTGATATATACTCGGGATGATATTTTGTTCGTATCTTTTTTTTTAATATTAATGGCGTATAAATTAAAGAATTAATACATCATTATCAAGCACATGATGCTGGAAACTGCGAAGTTTTATATTATATAGTGAACAAGTGTAAACACGAGAGAGAAAGATAGTTCTACATAAATATAATTATTGTATAAGATGATCTGGTAAAATAAAAACGTCGGATGATGTCGCAGAATTCTAGAATTCTCTTTAATATTTTCCCAACTTTATCATATCAAGTGGATTTTCTATTTTGATGTAATTTTTAGCTTGAAATCTGAATTTCACCAAGCGGTTTGAAAATCCCTTCGTTTGCCATAGCGGACGTTGCTTTTTTATTACATCTATCTGAAATGAATAAATGTAGACTTTTATTTCATCAGACAAAGATTCTTCTTCAATTGCGTTCTATTTTGAGAGCAATTATTTGTTTGCGATCAATGAAGTTGCATTAAAAATCATAAGGGATTCGAGAGATTACGTTAGCTCTGGATTATACAAACATATCGTTTCAACGCAATTTCTGAAATTTACTGCGAAAAATAATAGTATCTCCACGTCATGACTACTTACACGTTTTCATATCTTTCATTTTTGCAATTAATACCTACTGCATCATAGCACGATGATAAAGCCGGTAACGAAAACAAACATTTCATCTATTTACATTTACATCTATGAATATTGTATAATTCTGCATTCATTACATTTACCCCGTTTTAGACATCGTATACAAAACATGTTTTTAAATTATATTATTTTTACAAATAAGATACAGAATAAAAGATGTTGAATGTTTTTGACAATAAATTGTAGATCCCTCCGGCATTTAGGGGTAAGAAGTATCGAACGACAGGAAATATTGTTTATTTTATTAAAAACTATTAAATTATCTTTACATGGAATTTACAAGGGCAGCATGATTGATGATTAAAATGATTGATCAATTTCAAAAACAAGGGAGACTAAACATTGTAAATATTGCTTTGACATTATTAATTAATTTGCTTTATCATTATTGAATTTAAATTATTATAGAAGGTTGCATATCATCCGTATAAAACAAATATTACTCAGATATATTTTAAAACTTTAAATAGTATTGAAAACTTTTAATATTAAAACTATCAGATTCGTCAAAATAATCAATTCGGAATTTTTCATAATAGTTTTATCGATTTGTAACAGTGAATTTTTCTATAAAATATTTTTATTTTTTACAATTGTTTTTTTATATTTTTATTTTTATAAAACAAAATTATAATAATATATAAACAAAATTTTGTGCTCTTTATTGCGTTATAAACTTTGCTTTATTCTTTACATTTTAATTTTGTTGATACGAGTTTTATACTTCAGTCGTTTTAGTGTTAATATATAGGTAAGGATAAAGATCGTATTTATCTTAAAAACCAATTTGTTCAATAATTATAATTATTTGAATGGATTAAATATTAGATATAAGTAAGTCGTCATTGCTACAGACAAAGTTATGAGCAAAACTGCGGGTAAACTGACATAATAGTTAATCACAGAATAGGGAGCAATGATAGTAGTGTGAATACAGATTTGTACAGCTAAAATAAAATTCGTCGTACGCGATTTTTAAAATATCACTATAAAACTTAAAATTGACAGTAATATACAGAATATTTCTCACAAATAAAACAATTCATTCACATTTCCCTTATTGTAATTAAAAAATGATATCGCAGAAAAAAGGTAAATGGTTCAAAAAGAGTTACATTTTCAAGACTAAACTTTATTAGATGAGCATGAGTTCCATAATTCGATCCCATGGTTAATAATTTACTAAGTCTTTTTTGTAATGTACGACACTTTTAATAAATTATAACAGTCTATAGAAAATTTCATCATATTAAGGAATGTTGGGCATATTCTTTGTTATCTTTATTATAATTATTCGAGAATTTCACGAATGTAATGAGACAACAGTTGTCTTTGGAAATCATTATTAACAGAATTGAATTGAATAACAAATCGAAGTTTACGAAACAAAGTTAATAAAAAATACCGATAATAATAGAAACTTTAGATTCACGTTTACGTTACACGTTTATTAATGTTACCTCCCAAAATTGTGACTAAATTAATTTCTACTAATGAAATTCACTAATTTCAATAAGTTAGTGAATTTTATTAGTAGATTCAATTCAAATACAAATAAAGTTCAAGAACAACACATGATCATTCTTTTTATAAATATAATTTATATATTTCATAAGTAATGATTAGATTAAAGATTTTTATGTATTTATGGAAAATTTAAAGAAATACAGAAAATACAAAAATACACAGAATATACAAAAATGTATAAAATGTTGACAACAGAGTATTTATTTGTTATAATATTTAGTTCTTACTTAGGCTGTGTTTGCAAATTTTTGCTTAGGCTGCATTTTTTAAATTGCTTAAGCTGCATTTTTTAAATTCATAATGATATACTGAGTGTTTATCGATTTAACATTTATAAATCTTATATAAGAAGACCGTAAAAAAGTTTATTACACTCATCTATAATTTATTAATTGTCTAACTGAATTTAATTATCCTAACTGAACTGTATTTCAGTCCATTTAGTGTTTATATACTGTTAATAATAAATAAATATTATTTAATGTTTGCCAATTATTATAGAATTTTATTGCTAATAGCCACATATTATTAGTAATCGGTCAATTCCCCTATTAATCACTAGTCATTACTTTATGTAATTCTTAAATTTATTACGCATACTATGATGTAAATTAAAAATTTTTATGTATAGTTTCCTTTTTTTATTTTTCTTTTCTATTCGTATAAAAAAACATACTAATATTAATATATAATAAAACATACATTACTAATATTTAGTATTATTGTTAGATAAATGGGAACTATGTAGAACTTATATTTATTATTACCGCAATATCTATACTTATATATATAGACCGAAATGTGAATATATGAATAAAATATATAACAAAATTTTTAGTAAAATTCAAAAAAGAATTTTTTCATCATGGAATTTAGTTTTCGGTTCTGTATAAAGATAAAGCGATGAAATCAAATGTAATAAAATTTTTGTAATCGTGATGTAATCATTCAGAGGACTGAATAAAATTTTTTCCCAAGAAAATTAAAAATAAAAATTTATTATGTGTATATACGTATACTAAGTCAATTTTTAACTAAATATATATTTATTTCTATTTCGGAAAATGGAATAATTCTACACCCTCTTACTTATTTTCATAAACAAAATAATCTTTCTTGTTAACTTTTTATTTCTATCCTGATTAGTTTAAAATTATCTAAATTTAAGTATATTTGACAAACTTTCAAGTGAAATTTTAATTGAAATGAAAAGGTTTTAAATATAAAAATACAATCTACATATATAGAGTTTCACAATTTCACAATTGAACTAATTTTAATAATAAACAACAATTGAAATTAAATATCAATTGTTTTACTTCACATTTGTTAATAAAAACATTTATATATATTTATATTTTAAATTTAAATTCCCCTCCAAAACTGACTTTCTACTGTCTAGTAAATTGTTATAGTCATAGATCTATATATAACATAGACTATAGACTACAGACTATTTACAAATAGAGATGGAACAAAATAGGTACTTACATGTAAGATATATTTAAAAATAAAAAAAAATTTATTTAGATTATTATATATATAGATGTGAGTTATAATTATTTGATATTTAATATTTCAAATAATTATTTTTGTTTAAAGTTCTTTTTTCAATTGTACCGCCATTTACTGAATGACGTATACATGTGCCACTAAACACGCCTTTAATCGGATTTGATGTCTCGCCGATAGACAGACGAGTCATGTTATGATGAAAATTGCAATTTGAAAGTGACGGTTTCTTCTTTTTCTTCGTTTTATTTTTGTTAAAAAGATTGCAATACGTTGTAAAAAGGCACGCGTTAAATGCGCGAAACTACGCGCTAGAATGAGTCTTAATATAACAAAATTGTTTTCAAGAAAAAAAACCGGCCCGGTTGATACAGTTGCTGAGATTGGTTTACCCACCAATGTTTCTCATAAATTTCACGTGAGTAAAAATGCTAAGACAGGGCAACTGGAAGGCCTTCCTGAGTCTTGGATTCGTTTTCTGAATACGCAAATATCAAAGTCGGAGCAGGATGAGCATCCCGCTGCAGCTTTACAAGCCATAAAATATTACAATTACTCCATAAAACGAAAACCAGAAGAAAAAGTATTTAAACCATTTGTTACGGAGGACCTGATTGAAGAAGAGTCCCAGGAGATTGATAAAATTTTGTCGAAGAAATGCCACTCCGAAGATTTCGATGGATTAAGTTCTGCAAGTTCTACTGATAGTCAAGTGCAAAGGTTACCAGAACTTCCATCAAAAGTGAATAAAATTCCAAAACCAACGCCAAGAATATGCTCTAACAGGATTGAGAAAACTCTTACTGAGATTCTTGAAGATTTGAATACATATCAAATTGATGAAGATGAAGATCAACTGTTTGAGAACCAGAGCGAACAAGATAAAGTAGAAGAAGAGAGTCCTATTTTAAGAAGGAAGACAGACTGTTCAACAGTCAAGCTTAATGATGAAGAGATTTTTGAAGAACTTCAGGCTATTTGTCACGATGGAGATCCAAATCTTCGCTTTGAGAAAATTAAAGAAGTTGGGGTTGGTGCTTCGGGTACTGTGTTCATAGCTACTGATGTACAGATTGGTCAGAAAGTTGCTATAAAAGACATAGATTTATCAAAGCAGCCAAAGAAAGAGCTTATATTAACCGAAATTAAAGTTCTCAAAGAATTTCAACATCCAAACTTGGTCAATTTTTTGGATGCATACATTATGAATGAGCATCTATGGGTTGTTATGGAATTGTTAGAAGGTGGACCACTTACGGATGTTGTTACTGAAACTGTAATGAAAGAAGTACAAATTGCAGCAGTTTGCAGAGAAGTTTTAAAGGCAATTAGTTTTTTACATAGGAGAGGAATCATTCATAGAGATATTAAATCAGATAATATTCTTCTGGGGATGAACGGTGCTGTGAAAGTTACAGATTTTGGTTTTTGTGCTAATATTGATGGCGATGAAAAACGTCAAACTATGGTTGGTACTCCATATTGGATGGCACCAGAAGTAGTAACCAGAAAGCAATATGGCAAGAAAGTAGACATTTGGTCTTTAGGTATTATGGCTATTGAAATGATAGAGGGTGAACCACCTTACATGAAAGAAACACCTTTAAGAGCATTATATTTAATTGCTGCTATTGGTAAGCCTTCTATTCCCAGATGGGATACTCTAAGTCCAACATTTCAAAACTTTCTAGAGAGATGTTTAGCAGTTGAAGTTGATGAAAGAGCAACTGCTGATGAGTTATTATCTCATCCATTTTTAGAAAATTGTGCAGAGTTAACAAGTCTGATACCATTAATAAGAACTGCACAAAGAATTCTTCATAAAGTGTTCCATTGAATAATTGTTTTTAAGTAGAAATCAAACATTTGTTTTTATTTTAGAAGTATATCTGCAACATTGCATTAATATTATTTATACAGTGTAAAAGTATTTTGCTGCACACTGCACAAGTAATTTAGATATATGTAGTGCAGTGATTTTATGTATTTTATGTGACCATCTTTACATCAATATGTTACCAAAATAGCGATAGTATAAATTATAGTAAAGAAAACATTTATAGAAGATAATTTTTAAAAAAATAATTATAACTTCATAAACACAATATACGTGATAGATAATTTCTATTGCTTGAGTTATTGAAAAAGTAATCATTAATGTAAATTATTAATAATTTCACATGCAATATCTATTGCGTGAGCTCAATATTTTTTTTATATCTTTGATTTTATAAAAAAAAATGCAATTTTTCACCAATTTTGAAATTAGGTGCAAAAAGAAGAGAAACAAAAGTTATTGTGCTAAAAATATTTTATATTAGTTTATGATTTTATTTAAGGATTTGTTTGCATTTACTACAAAGTATATTACTTTTATTACATAAAATATTGTACTTAGTTTATTTAAGAAAAAAGGTATATGGACATAGTATCTGTCAAAGGAATAATTAGTTTTATACTTGAGTTGTCAAAACACAACAGTTGTACCAATTTAGTTATAGTACAAATTTAATTTAATAATTCTACCAATGATGTTTCAACTGTATACCATTTCTTTTACTGTATTTACTTGCATTTATCTTTTGTTTAAAGTTTATTAAATTAAACTATGCTATACATCTTTAATCAAACAGTTCATATACAAAGTGGGTATTATAATAAATATTATTTAATATTTGATTAAAGATTATCTAATTACACAAGGACTGCTTTTTAAAAATTTTACAACTTTCGTGTTTTGAAAGATTTACTGAGAAGTTATACCTTGTGATTTAGTGTTACAAGCACATGTATTAATAACCAAGTATTGTAAATGATGTGACATACTACACACTGTAGAGTATATTTTTTAAAACTTTTAGAAGTTTTAAATAGTTTTGTAAGATTTTATCAAATTTTGTAATATGCAACTTTTTGAGAAATTTTCTATTTATATTTTAAATTCAATGTTTAATCAAGATGCCAAATTTTAACATGTACAATTTTATTATGAATTACATACACGAATATTATGAATTATGTATATAGTATTTTTAAGATACCTTTTATGAAAAATATTTGAATTTATATTACAATTGTCCATAATTTAGTTTAAGATTTGAGCAGTAATATCACAACTGTGATAACAAAAAATTGAGTCCTGTTATATTATATTTCTACATTTAATATTGTCATATTACTTTTATCTTTTATGTAATTAAATATGCATGTTTAAATATGATTTAATTTGACCTCAATGAATACTGTGAAATTACATGTAATAATTTAATATATAAGATTGGTCAGTCAATTATTCAATGTAAAATATATTAAATTTATAATATATTTATAAATTTGTTAAAGAATTAATGTAAAATTGAACTTATATGACACAGTTGTGCCTTATCAAATCAAATCAATATATGGTTCCATGCCTAGCTGTCTTCTAAACACTTTTATGAGTGATAATGCAACATAAAAAGAACAAAATATAATACTTGTTCTTCAATATTTAATATCTATATATTACTTTCAAATATATGTAAGAAACATCACGTCGTTTTAATAATAAATATTTTATTTACAAGATATAATTATAATTTTGTACATTTTACTGTTCCCAAAAAATTCTTAAATCACACTGAAATTCTTAATCATGCATATTTTGAATATTTAAACAAAATTTATTATACACACATATATTTACATTATGTTTTCTACATATTAATATACATAAAATAATGTAATTATTATAAAAAAATATATATATGTATATTTATTATTTTGCATGAAAGAAAATACAACAGTGTGACCATTATGTTATTAGAATAAATATAGAAATTAATTAATAAAATATCATTTTCTCATTTCTCATTTTAAAATTTTAACTTTTTAATTTTATATTAATTTTTAATTTTTTTTATATCATTTTATATATTAATTCTTTATATAAATCATATGTGTTCCATGGATATACTGCGCATGTTCTAGTAGTTGTTTTTATTAATTACAAGGTTGAAAGAAATATAGAATATATTAAATGACAAAAAAGCAAAATCATATGAATGTGAATTTGATATAAATATATAAATTATGTAATTTTTATGTTTTATTAATAATATAGTACTGATAATATTGATCTTTTATTCTAATTTTAATGTTTTCTATATTTCCATTAAAATATTTTATATAAATATTAAAAGTATTAAAATTAATTATTACCTAAACTTTGGCAGTATCTAGGCAGATAAATAACATATTTTTTATTTTTTGACTAAGATTTAAAGTTTAAATGTTTTTTGTACATCAAGTTTTGTAAATATAACAATATAACAACAGTAAGTATCTATAAATTATTTTCATATAAAGTTAAACACTTTAGATCTATTTTTACGAAATTAATGTTGTAAACAAAACTAAAATGTAAATTGAAACCTAAACCATTTTTTCAGTAAGTTTTTCAGAATTAACATTTAATTAAAGGTCAGTCCTGCGAATACCTTAGAGCTCGTAATCTTCCAGCGAGCAGAAAACTTGGATCTTCCAACATGGCTCTTAAAACAGCCAAAAAGTCGGCTGCTTGGTCTTCATCAATTGCGCGCCTATCGTACGATAAAGTTGTTGACATTTTTGTTACTTTTTGTAGCGCAGTATCTATGGGATAATACATGTATATTTCTTGCATCTTTACAATATAATATAATACATATACAATATATATTCCAAAATAATAAAAAATAAATTTTCTAAATACCTAGTTCTTCACGACCACTTCCAACAGCAAGTATTGCTGTTTGAGGAGGATTTATAATGGCACTGAATTGTTTGATGCCAAACATCCCTAAATTGGATATTCTAAAAAACATTGAAGATTATATATAAAATATAATTTATAATTTCATATTTTGTATAAATTAATTTATTTACGTGAAAGTTCCGCCTTGGAATTCTTCTGGTTTTAATCGACCACTTCTGGCTTTCTCAGCTAACTCTTTAATATTTTTCGAAATATCTGCTACGTTTTTTGCTGAAGTGTCGAAAATAATTGGTGTAATAAGACCTGTGTCTGTAGCAACAGCGACAGAAATGTCAACTCTTGGCATACGAATTATCTATTAAAGATGAAAAAACTTAGCTTTACATATTGTTTAACTAAATTTCAGCCGTTATATCAAGTTGTATATACTAACTTGGCCATTTTGATACAATGTATTAATAAATGGACATTCGATAAGTGCATGTGCGGCTGCTTTTATAATGAAATCATTTATCGAAACGTTAATATTATCAGCCTTGAGTTCACTACGAATTTCATTTAGTTTATCAATTTTAATATCGATGAATGCATAAGAGTGGGGAATGGTACTCTAAAAAAATATTAAAAATATATTATGATGTTACTTATAAAATATAGATACAAAATTTTGTCATGAACATATGAAACATTTATAATTACTTTTGATTCTCCAAGTCTCTTAGCAATAACACCACGTATATTAGAAACTGGGATGTCTTCGTACGAAGAAGGACCGCCACTAGGTACATGTACTTTGACATCGCTTGGTTCTTTCTTAGCTTTTGCAATCTTAGGTGCACCTTCTATTTAATTAAATAGGAATCTACAGTTAATATTATTACATAATTTTACAAATTACTATTTGTTTTTACATACCTGATTTTAATGTAATTTTTTTTACATTATTTGCTTGAATATAAGCTAATACATCACTCTTTAATAATCGATTAGGCCGACCAGTACCCTTGATCAAGTCCGCACTTAAACCATATTCCTCCAATAACCGTCTTACTGCTAAACCATAAACTCTGGAAAAGAAATGTAACAGTAACAGATAATACAATACTTACATTATAAATTCATCGATCAGAGAAATACTGCAAATATTTTGCATACTGTCCACTTATTGCAGGTGGGGCAGCTGTAGGAGCAGCTGTAGGAGCAGACGGTTTTGTAGTTGTTGGAACAACAACATTTTTCCAATCCATTCCCTTTTCTACTGTAATAGCAATTAATTGTCCTACTTCCACTTGATTTCCTTCAGGAACCTGTTAAATAAATTTTTATATATTACATCGTTAATTTTAAATAAAACATAATTAAATCTTGAATAACAGTTACAAGGATTTTTGCAAATATCCCTTCATCTTCAACTTCAAAAGTCATAACAGCTTTGTCCGTTTGTATTTCCGCCAGTGCATCTCCCGGTTCTAGTTCATCTCCTTCCTTTTTAAGCCACTTTACAATTGTACCTGTAGTCATAGTTGGTGATAGTGCTGGCATACTAACATTTGTTCTAAAAATATTCATAATTTAAAAAATTGTTAACATACACACTGTAAATTATTTCAATTAATACGTACTGGCCAGGGGGTGGAGAAGCTGCTGCACTTGTAACAGGTACTGCATCTGGTGCAAAAGGTGCTGCAGCTGGTGAAGGAGGTGTTAATGATGGAGCTGTAGTTGTATCTGGTATTTCTACAGATTTCCAATCTTGATCTACCTCAACTGTAAGTGCTATTAATGTTCCTACTTTGATATCTTTGACTCCTTCTTGTATCTAATAAAATGATATTAATTTTTATTAAAAAATTTAAATAAAATATATTGAATTAGATAAATTAAAATTTGAGTATATTTTACATACAATTATTTTTGCAAGAATACTTTCATCATCAACTTCCATAGTAACAACTGCTTTATCAGTTTGAATATCAGCAAGCGCATCTCCTGGTTCAATTTTATCACCTTCTTTTTTTAGCCATTTGACGATAGTACCACTTTCCATAGTAGGTGACAAAGAAGGCATTAAAACTTCCCTTCCTTTGACTAAAAATAAATTAAAAAATTTTCACACTGCAACAAATTGTATACTGAATAATATAATGTGACTAAATTACTATGATAATTGATTGCATAACCAATCTATTATGACTAATAATATAATAATACATAGTTGTACGTTCAACTGAATTAAAAATAAGAGACATTTTTTCGTTTAATATGTTCAATATTATGATTTGTATGGCTATTAATGTTATATGAAATAATACATATTATTTGATATATAATTGTAAGTTAACCTTAATTCCATCATGAATGAAAGTGTTAATGAAATATTTCTGAATAAATTGCATACCATCGAGAATCCAACTTGTATGAAAACATAGTCGTTGATATTTTAATGGTACAAATATTCGAGGTATTACACGATTATTATTTTTAATAGATAAAAGTGCAATCCTAGATATCATCATTTGCGCCATATTTGATATAAAGATATTAAGCTAAGAATTGTAGACTTTCGACCTTCACAATGTGAATCTGCCTATTAAATGAACGTTCGTTAGAGGGGAATGTCTTGCTGTTAATATTATTTTTCAATGGTATATATTTATTTTTCTTTTAAATTAAGTATTGTTTTTCTACTTTTTATGTCCTATAGAATGATTTTATATTTTTTTCATTTATTATACAAATATTTTTAATTTGATAATTACTTTTAATTAAATAGTTTTAATTTGAACTTAAAGCTTATTGGAATACTTAATGATATACATAAGTAATTATTATACATAAGTAATTATTATACACGTAGTTGTTTATACAACTAAACTATCTAATAGAATTAACGAAGCTAATTATCAGTACAAAATATGAGTAATTATAAAATTGTTATATTGTATGTTTTAGTATGAAGTTCATTTAAATGGTTCAATATAAAATTCGTTTAAATAATTATTATATATGAAATTTATTTAAACAAACTTTGCATGGTATGAAGATCGAGAAATATTTTTTCTCTTCTTATTTATAAAATTCTGTATTATACATATAATATTTAATTATTATAATAGCGTTAATTATTTCAAGTGTTTGTTGACTCTTATTCTTGTAGAATATTTTATCTTTTCAATCATTAGAAATATGTAGAACGTTTTAAATTATTTATAAAATTAATGCTGAAATTGTATTTCCGATGTAATAAATTATTTTGTATAGAATACAAAAAAATATACAATCATTGACTAAAGACAGAATAGACCTGACATAAAATAAGACTTTGTGTCTCAGAGTCTGAAATACAGACAGAAAAAAAAAAAACTGGTTCTAAGCACACTCGCAGACGAGATATACTAATAGATCAAGCATCCAATGTACTTTTTTGGCAACAATTTCGAGATACTTGATGCCCTGTTACCATTTTTGTGTCTCATCCTGTCGTACCGATTCAGCAAGTTTTGTACCGCGAAAATCAAAAAATATGGACAGGAAATTTGGGATAAAGAATTTAATGTATATTTGACTATTAACATCTATTTAAAAATATTAGGAAAAATTGATTGAAATAAGCATTAGATGTCTAATTTATCTTAGTTAATCAATGATACAACATAATATTTTTAAATTGTTTTTATAAATACCGTGATGTTTATTGAATGTTCATCGTCAGACATGTCTTACAACATGATATGATTATGATAAATGAATGAATAAAATAGTACATAGTCGTAATTTTCTGCATATCACATATTCGGTAGCAAGATGAAGCGATTATTTGGCCCACATTCAAATATCACGGTCAAGTTCTTTCTTTTAATGCGTCTTAATCTCTGAATTTTATTTTAATCGGCACTCTTCTCGATCAGCATTGAACGGCCAATCACAAATATTATCCTTTGTGTTCCAAATTAAGTTGTTGGGGCATGTGAACTTCACTGGTATTCCGTGAGCACATTCGTAATACTGTAATAAAAATTATATACATCTATATGTATGTAGGTACAAGAAATTTCAAGTTTATGAAATTATTTATAAATTATTATTAATAAATAAAATATATTAAACTAATATTAATATATTAAAAATATATTAAATATAAATATATATTGTTAAAATATATTATTAAATAAAGCTTTTTAATTATATTCTTTAGCATTTGCACTTACAATCTGGCAGTCTTTCGACGGAATGAATTTATTAGCACTTTCACAATTGATATTCTCCGCTCCGCCACCATCATTTATCGGCTGTTGAGTAGATTCGGATTTATCTACCTCTCCCGCAGTGCAAGAAGTAGATGAGGTAGATTGATGAGCAGGCTGTTTCGTAGGTGAAGTAGATTGAGTACTTTGAATAGGATTGTTCATTGATGGAGTAGATTGAGCAGTAGATTCAGTACTTCGAGTAGTCTGAATATCATCTGACGATGTGGTACTTGGTGGTTTTGCCCAATCAGGCTAAAAAAGACGAATGTTATAATAAAGAAAGTGTAAGGAAAACGTATTTTCCATTTTATATTATCTAGTCATTTGTCTTATCTCAAATCTCTTCGTGTATACATATTATTTTGATCCTGCTACGATCTTCTTATACTATATTGAGTTCCTACTTAAATTTCTATTTAAATTTATTCACTTTTAAAAACAAAGGTTCTAAGAATTTTATAACATTTGAATTTTTATGTTATTTATTTTAGTAAGTAAGGAGAAAATTTAAAAAAAAAAAGCTTTAAATATAGAATTCAAGCGAGAAATCGTGAAATGAAACTTCTCCTATACGTATGTGTCTTGTTAAAATAAAGGATATAACTATTATCATTAGAAATAAAAAAAAAAGAATATAGCTATAATATCATTAAAAATATTACTAAATTGAAAATGATAAAAAGAAGGTAGCAAAGTTATATATAATCGTTCAAGAGTGATAAACATTTATAAGAATAGAGACGTCACTAATCAACTACTATTAATCACGATTTCGTGTTTTGATAGTATTTGACGATTTGTAAGGATATATTACATTACAAGTTAATTATAATTGAATAATTATTATTTATAAGACATGTTGAATAAAGTAAAATAATTATTTACTGTAGGAGTGGTATGGAAGTCTTTGTTTGTTACTTTATATCCTTTCAAGTCTTGGTAAATAATATTCATCAAAGGATTATTATGACCGCAAAGTCCTTGAAAATCGTCCATGTCGATCGCCCAAACCATGGCACCACCATATCCAGATTTCTTTAAGAAATCGATTTTGTGTTTCACACTTTCCTCGTTTTCGTAACCAACCCACTGTGTTCCTGTGATTATCGACGATTAAGGATTATTAATATCATTTACTTACAATTGCTAGCAATTGCTATGTGAATGATTCATTCATTCTTTTTGCAATGAAAATTTCAAAATTCTTATCAATGAGAATTTATTAATAAACTAATTAATTAATAAATTTCATTTATTTCAACATATATCAACTTATATTGTAAAATAATACCGATCGTTCGTAGTGAACAGTTAGAAGGCTACGGATATTTTTGTAACTCACTTATGTACACACCTTGATACATGTATGGAACTTTGCCAATATTGTCGAATTTTTGAGTCCAGTTACTGCCTGGAGCTTGCAGACTCTGACAGATCTTCAAACAGATATTCCCGATTATTTTTAAAGAACAAAACTATAAGAAATAAAATAGTTGACATTGATTGATCGTACTTCGTAATAAGAAAGGAATCCCTTAGCTTGCGTGTAGTTCCCAGGATTACCACCTCCAGCCTCTTTGTTAATGTAAGTGCCTGGCTCGTAATTGGTGTTACTTGAACTGAGGGTGAATGTACGTCCATATAATGGAATTCCAACGATCAGTTTTTTAGCAGGACAGCCTTTTTCCTCCCAAAGTCGAAGACCATCGTTCTTTGGACGAAAAGTCGTATGTCATAAATAAACTGTAGATATTTACGTATTTTTGGGAAATTTAAAAATGTAAAAGTTCACAGAATTCATATGCAAAAATATATAAAATATTTAAAATATAATATACCTAAGTCTCTTTTTATTACATAGAAGATTACACGGTGAAACGGTGATAATTATTTCAGTATAATAAGAAAATGAATTTATCAGAATACGATGATAAGTAAAATATCGATTTCTTAAAAGGATATTGATTTCTTCATTTTCTTCAATATTGACATCTTTCACACGATATCTTTTTTCTTTCGTACTGCGAATTTTTATGGAAATTTATATCTTTGAGCATGCAATTAAAAATCAATGGAAAATTATTTTATATAATTGCTTACTAAATGTTACAGAAAGTTCTAGTATATTTTATATATTTTTCTTCTTTTCATTATATGCATTCTGTGCAAAAATCCATAGTCTATTGATAACTGAATCTCTGTTCAGATTATATTTCTTTAGTTAGAATATTGAAAATATGAAAATGGACAAATATCTGTAACAAACGTGGTATATGTCTACATTAAATTTAGCTTCTACAAGCAAATATGAAAAGACTTTGAGAAAACTAGTAGTTTCACTATCTTATCAGTGATGTAGATAGATATCGATTTTAATAGTAAAAACATACATCTTTTGAAAATTCTTACCACATTCAATTTCTCGTACGCCCATTGATCGTGCGGTCGACGATAAAGTGGACTGTGTACATCAGCGAATCCAGCCCAGTTGCCACGAAGATCATAAGCCATTACATGGACGGCATCCATAAGTCTACGAAAATATTTTTTCACTTGAACGCGATAATATAAATTTAATTAATTAATTCACTTACTTGCATAGTTCTGGCACGTGGTATCCTTCGTCTAGTCGGAATTTTGCCAATGGCACCGCAATCGTCAGCTCCCATCCTTTGTGCTCTTTGTTAAACGCACGTCTCAATTCTTCGACAAAGTAGAAGAAGTTGTCCTTGTCGGAGAATTTGCCACCTCTGTCAGAGGCGCCAGGATATTCCCAATCAAGATCCAAACCGTCAAAACCATATTTATCTATGAATTCTGGTAAAAAATAATAGTAACATAAGAGTCACTCGTGATATTATAACACTATTGGACATTATTTTCATATGTTATATTTGTATTTCCGAAAAAAAACTGATGTTAACTGATATTTTTTATGGTTGTTAGTTATACTTGCGAAAAATGCCAAGGATATTATCGTTACATTATCGCTGAAAATGACATGTTTTTATGTATTGTTGGATGTTGTGCATCATGAATTATTATTGAATTATTATTTATTAATTTTTTGTAGCACAGTGGCTTTTAAATTTCTAATTGCCATTTAAAATTAAATTTTCATCATTTTTTTCTATGTTAAAGCTATATTAGTTTGGTTCGATACTTTTCGGTCAGAATTATTTTTTATTTTTATTTTTTTTTTTTCGATACTAAAGGGATTCATTATTTATATATATAAAATATTCGATTATATTTTTATCGAATTTAGTTTCTAGTAATACAAAATTTTATCACGAGTAGGATGAAACTAGCGTATTGATTCTTTAAGGTAGTAGTGAGTTAAAAAATATTCTGATATGCAGAATAGAAATATTTTTGAACCTTGAGAAATTTAAACAACTGAAGACATAGAGATTTGTGTTATATGACACTCTGTTTAATCGATCCATTTTTAAATTTTGGACGTTTAATTTATACGTTCAATTAATTGCAACTATATTTATTTATTCCATATTCAAATCTAAAACTAGTTGTTATAAATAGGTCACTTAGTATATATTTTTCTAATATATCGATGAAATAGTAAAGACGGTAATAGAAATAATTAAGATAAAATTTTTGCACAACTTGAGATTCCCCACCATTTTACTCACCAATTATGCTTTTGATGAAAGTATCGCGCCTTTCTTTTGAGCTGACCAGGGCGCTGTATTTTCTGCCACCTTCTCCCCAGCCACCAATAGCCACGGAGGTTTTTAAATGAGGATACTTAGATTTGAGATTGGTGAAGGCTAAGAAATTGCCTTTATCAATGTCCAGTTCTGGATCCAAGACAAGCACCTCCCAAGTGACATTGCTAACCCCGATAAAGGAGTAAATGAGATGGGTACACAAATCAGCCGGAATATCATCTACTTTGTAACTGCCGACATCCGGACGATAAATCGCCCAGTTACTGAAGTAACAGACTATTCTAGGAGGTTGATCTGCTGAAACTTTTGGAAATCACATTATTTATTTTATATCCCATTTACAATGAAGAGCAGTATGAAAAATTCACGTAAATCTTGAACATTAAAGTACGTTAAAAATACATATTACTAATTCTAAACATTTAATACTAATTTAATATTAACGATAATAAAAAAGGATTTATGTGATTTATGTGAAATACTGTGATCACTGTGCTTTTCGCTATAAGTTTCTTGTTCGAACATTAAAAATGCTTTTCTATAGCTTCATCAATATGTTTGTTTGCGAAACAAATAATGCGTTTACCTGTCGTATAGATAAGTACCACAAGTAATAAGGGAAGTACTAGAAAAATCTTTCCTGCCGACATCTCGAAATCTGTAAAAAGTTCGATGGAATTAGTAATTTATTACGTTATTAATAAGACCGCAGTGTTTTATTCATTTTCAAAGTTCAAAACTGCACAGAGTGCACATAATATAAAAACATATATAAAATATCCAAAATACAATGCATTTATAATGATAATATTATAATTTAATTACTGCAATAATTCAATATTAAAATTTTATGTTAATATTAATATTATCATCATCATGGTTTTTAATAATACTGACAATATTTAATATATAAATTTTTTACCAAATTATTACATAGTTTGATTACATTCTAAAAAAAAGAATTTGTATAGAAATCCGTGGTCTATTTATTGATAGTGATATTTCAGACTGTTATTGCAAAATTAAAGACATCCTATGGATTCTGGTTCCGTTTTCGTTAATTGCGTTTTTGTTGAACAGTTTTTTGATTGCTTTTGCTTAATGTTTATGGATCACCGGAAGCGCGATGATTACTGACCCTCGAGCCTGTTGGTTTATTGTCAAGTCGATGGTCCATTTTTGAAACCTTTTCATCGATATCGTTTATTATCTTTTTTGGCTCACTTTTAATAAAACGATCAAACGGCTAGATCTTCAAATGTGATTGGCTAATCAAGTTAATCACATTACAATAATAGCAGGCTCGCGGGCGGCCGCGCGTTTAGTATCAGCAAAATCGTTAGTATCAGCAAAATTCTTAGTCAAATCAGTCAGCATCAGAGAAATATTCAAATCAAGATTTTCAAGGTGGACAAGCCATTTCATAGTTCACTGCGACAAATCGATTTGCACTAAGTCGTACAAAAAACACAGACAATAAATTCACTTGGCTTCATTAATTTTGCTTCTCATTCTAAAATATTTAAATGAAATAAATAAATTGGATTTCACTTTAGAAAACGGTGCGGTTTTATTTTAGAAGATTCTATGTTACTGATAATCATGTTATTATAACACTCCCCAAAATTGATAAATTTCTGATAATCACTATTGGGTTGCCTCGCTATAAAGGATTTAAACTACAATAGAAAATTGAATGTCATCCAGTGAAAATTTTTCGAATTGATCAATACTTTGCCAGAACGTATTAATATCTCACTCGCTATACTATAACAATACGCCAATAAAATTATAAATAAGACTAAATTAAATTTTAATATTCTTCCAGCAACACGTCATTCAAGGAAAATTGCAACTTATTGGAAACAAGTTTCGAGCTGTTAATCAGAGCTTGGCAATGATACGAACGTCTGGTTAACTCTGTATCGAGACGTCTCTAAAAGACGAACGATCTACTATTGGTTGATTAGCTGCACCGGGCAAAGTGACCGCTTCATTGAAACATGTCGTTTCTTCAAACGGTGAACGATCCGAGCCGACCGGTTTCCAGCAAAGCAAATACCGCAATATCTTCGTGAAATTCTTCTTCTTCCGAACAATCTCGTGTTATTCCCGTTGTTCATGCATCGAGAAAAAGACCACGTCGCGATCCAACCGAACACGTTTCGTTGATTTCTGTCTCGATCTTGACAATTCCTCGGTTGTTCGCGCGAGGAATCTCGTTCGATACTCGAATGGATCGCGTCTTGTTTATTAAATTCGATTCGCTCGCTCGGTTGGTTCAGTTCAATACTGTTATGTTGATGTGTACCGTTTTCTTTTACGTTTGGCGACGAGCTTTGAATAATACTCTTACTTCGTTCGTCTTCCTAAATTTTGGCCTAATTTTTTTCGAATATAAGCAATTATTTTGTCTTCTAACATTCCCTTTTTTTTTTGTCTCAAATTCTGAATTAATTGACAATGATTACGTCCTATCTTTTTATAGTTCTATTTATGTTTTTAATTTAATGTTAAAATGTACAGTCAGTAGAATAGCTAATATCAATTGGTATAAATAAAAGAAGCAATAATTGAAAGTGACTGAAGACTAATTCTGCAGAGATATTTCAATTACGATTATTAACGTTGAGACATTTTTTAGAAACTTATAAAAATCTCACAAAATCAGTCAGCTATTGAAAATGAATGTAGAACTTGAGTTTATACTCTTTGTTTCAGATTAAATTTAGCAGAGTTTATTTGAGTTTATCTCGACTTGTCTAATAAGATGTAGAGAATTAATTTAATTTCATAGGGGAATTTTTAGGAGAATCGTTATTAAGAAAACTAAACAATTTTTTGATTGCACTAAGTGTCCAATTATTTATGCATAGTATATATAGAGTATATGTATGTGAATACGTAACTTCGTGAGAATTATTTACAATTGATTCACGATCAAATGTTCTCAGACCATCGTCTCGCTTTTGCCGGTCGTAAAATAACAATTGAACATCGAAAAGTAAAAAAAAGTTAATGCGGGACGAACGAAGAACAAATATAAAAGCGGTTCAGAGATCGTTCTTGGTTTTGAAATGAAAGAGCTAGATAATGGTCCTGGACTGCAAAAATAAAGAAAGATACCGAGGTAGGACCGCGAATTAAAATGCCAGCTGCATCGGGTCCTTCGACTACTATTCCACGGATTGCACAGCGAATACAAACATCGCGTATCTTCTTTTTCACTTGAGATATTGTAATTCGTATTGTTAACATTCTGCTGGTCTTTTTATGATTCCTTGTTCCTCTTGGAATCAATGGCCCAAGCGATAACTTTTATTATGTCGGTCTTTTTTGAAAGAATTCTGGAATCGCAGGACTTTCATCTCTTTTTGGGCAGAATGTGAATACTGTATAGCAGAGGTGGTCAAATTTTTAGGTGTGACTAGACGGATTTTTATGTAGTTTTTTATATTTTGACGGAAGAAATGAGAATTAATTTCATCCTCGAAAACGATGGTCACTTTTCGTAGAAATGAACGTAGAAGTCTTGGGTCCATTTATTAATAGATATTAAAGTTACCAAAATTTTACTTCAATTTTTAGATATGCTGAGCAAATCATTGAAAATACAAAAATTAGTCTAAGAATATATTCGCTTTTCTTATACTCTTGAAAACTGCTTGAAATGTCCACTCTAATCTTTGTCATAAGCTGTCATAAGTTATGATTTACATTGAGCAATAAAATTCGATTAAATAAAAAAATTCTAAAACCATTCATATTTTAACTCTAAATTTGATGTTCCAGTGGTACAACAATACGAATGAAGTGAGTAATTCAAGTGGTGGTGCATTTTCATTGACGATCGCGAATCAATATTCTAGGAGTGAATCGAAGAAGAAGAAACTAAATAGTCCTCTTTTGATATGTATTCTTTGTCTTGTAAAGTTCTTCCTGCTTTATAGGTGTGTAGCAAGTTAGGCATGCACTTTAGATATTGTGCTTTGTCGATATGATTAGCTCACGAGCAAACAAAAAAAAAATCTATAGACGATAACCTTCCATTCTTAATCTTACGTGACCGACATTCTCAGCGATATCAAATCAATAATATCAAATATTGATTCTAACTCTTTGTTATTTAATACAAACCACACGAAATTAATAAATTTGCTGTTAAAACTACTACAAGCTGAAAATGGCCGAAAAAAAAATATAACAAGATCAATCATTCTAAAATATTTGTAGAAACCATTAGGACAATCAACGTGTTAGTTATACTACATGCTCTATATCAAATAACTATTAGAATAAAAAATGACAATTGAATTTCGCAATCTTATTCTTAGGTTTCTCTCTTTGTGAGAGACTATTGGAAATTTTTTGACTCACCCGAAACCTACGCAGGTTGACCTTCGAGTTGCAGATCGACGAAAAGAATAAAAGAAAATGGAAACGAAGGGAGAGAACGACAGACCGTGTGACGGGTCAACGATCGCGACAAAATTCCAGGGACTTTGTACAAATATCGCTTAAAGAGGTCGTTGAGAATACACAGAGGGAAAAATTGACATAAATATTCGTCCATTTTTATGCGCAGTCGCTTACACTTAGTTCGCTGGTAGAAGTGTTTGCAGTGTCTGTTCGAAGGAATAATATCCCATATTTTGGAAAAAGTAGTGACGAAGATTTTAAGAATGTGATTTGAGTTGACAAAGTATGGAATTGTCTTAGAAATATTCTTCAATCCTGACTTGATTCTTTTGTTAATTAATTTACGAAGTTTCAATGAACTAATCGATGTTTCACTTGACTGTCTTTTTCGTTAGAAATGTTTTCGAATCATGACCTCGTTGATTGCTTTACAGAATTGTAAGGAACAACACTTTTCCCAATTCCATGTTCTATTTATTGCGACAGATTATCCGAAACGATAGTAATTGATAACATCTTATCGTTAACTGGAATTATGTACTTATTATGAAACTATATAAGTTATACTTCAAGTACGGTGTACTATTTAATGTAACATGTTGCAACACAACGTGAGATAACGATGACAAAAAATATAAAGTTTTAGTATTTGAAGTATTGCTCTATCAAATAATCATCATAATATAAAAATGAATATTAATTACTGTTGTAACGCAAAATTCGTACGTTCTGTTTATGGGACGAAATATATATTTAATAATAATATATTAAATATATTTTAATAAAAATATATTTAACTTTCCTAAAAAAATTATGTTACAATAAAGTCTTCAAATATTTTATAACATTATTTATATTATTTAAAATTCTGCTAAATATAATCGACGTTATGCGTCTTATTTTATTTATTCTAAACTGCGGATAGAAACGCGATTAGTCGCGGTAGTCAACGTATTAAACACGTGTTATGAAAATTGAATAAATGTAAAATAAGTTAGTGATAATATTGCCAAAATCCAGTAACAAATATTCGTTAAAATCGCGACTTTTGTCAAACGATAAGTAGAAGAAATTAACAGAAGAG